CACACACACACACACACACACACACACAAACACAGACAAACAATCAATCACAACAGTCTCACAACCATGCACACAGATAGCGGCTGGACTTATCCTCAGTTCGCCAGAGCGTTCATCGCGTAGGACTCCACGTTGCATTTACACACCACATCGCTTGACATAGTTTAATTTTCCTTTTCGTCTTTTTTTTGAGGGCCCTTTTTTTCGTTTTTTTTTTCTCTCTTTTTGGAGGGGGGAGTGAGTCTTCAGTACGGTGAAGGAGACGTGAAGATTATTTCTCTTCTTTCTGCATCTGCAGACAATTTTCCCTTTGACTCAAACAAATTTTTTTTTGTTCTATTCCTCCGCTCCTCCCGATCATGTTGTTCGCATTCCCCTCTCTCCGAGCCTTCCCTCTCCCTGAAATGGATAACAACAGGAAAAAAAAGGTAGGCTCCAACAAACAATGATTGGGAGTCACGCATACACCCTCGCACCTTCTACTGTCGCACACCGAGATATGTGCTGCCGCGACGGCACGGTGCTGCAACTACAGGCACACAAATAGAGAGAGAGAGAGAGAGAGAGAAANAGATATGTGCTGCCGCGACGGCACGGTGCTGCAACTACAGGCACACAAATAGAGAGAGAGAGAGAGAGAGAGAAATCAGAACCCGTAACATCCTTGACGATATAGCTTTCTTTTCTTCCACAAAACACTTCCCCTCCCTTGTTCCTCTTCCCTCTCCCACTCTGTACCAATGTATTTGCCACGCCACACGTGTCGGTGTGCTTCATATGCGCTCCTCCCCCCTCCGCGGCCACAACACAGTTGAAACTGAAGGTCAGGCTTATATTTCGCCATGTTGCGCGGCGACAGGTATAAATACAGAAGGTTTCTCCTGTCCAGAAAGCCTTAAGAGGAAGCCTGGCTCAGAGGAGGGGTGCTGCTTTGCACTCAGGCAGACGACAATTTCATTGAAAGCGTTATGCACGGCCGCTGCAGCAGTAATTAAAAACGGAAGGGCCCTGTGCGTCTGTGTCTATGGAGGCCTGTGTTTCTGCACCCCAGACAAATGCCGCACTTCGTCCCATTTGTGCACATCGCGGAAAAAAAAAGAAAAACGGAATGATACAGATCAAGAGATGGAGGAGGGGAGAGGAGCTTGATCGTTCCCCATTTAATTTGCACCCCCCACCCCACAACCTTTCCGTTCTTTTCTTTTGTGTGTTCATGTTGCCTGCTTTTCGTTTTCCTTCACCCTTTGTGTGGCGACGCTCCTCCATATATATANATATATATATTCCCGTGCCTCCAGCTCACACTTTGCTGACACGCACGCATATTTTCCAAGAGATTCTACACCCGCACACAAGAACGAACGAAAAGGCCCCCAATCAGGAATAAAACTAAAAAAGAGGGGGCACGCTACACCTCCACAAAGCTCTGCTTAGACCTTCTTCATCCACCCTAATCAGTGGATAGTGGTGGCGCAACACCTGTCGACACGAGGTGGAGGAGGAGGAGACGGTGCTACAACGTTGAGTGTCAGCGGTCGAGTAGTTTCAAAATCCATGGCCTTCATGAGTGTCTTTACCTCAGTTGTCATATAGCGGGAGAGTGCTTCTTTTTCGTCTGCAAGAGACTCGGTATCGGCAAGCGATGATGCAGACTTCTCGTGGCAGTTAAGCGCCATAGTTGGCAACGGGAGCAATTGCGGCAAGGCCAGAATACCAGCGAGCAGGTTACGGCGCCTCGGGGTCATTGCGGAATCTTCCATCTCCATGGAACTAAGAACATCCTGCAACTCGCTCAGTTGTTGCTTCAACGCCACCACCTCACCATCATCCTCATCATCATCCTTGGACGGCACCATGGGTGTGTCGCCCTCCTCGGCATCGATCGAACCATCGTTGCCTTCTATGCCTTTCCCACCGTTGACAGCCTCAGTAGCTGAGACGGTGCACTTAATTGACGTGAGACGTTCCAGTAGCACCATTACCAGATGCGTAAGAAAAGCGACATCATGACGGTGCTGTTGAGAAAAGCGTTTTGTCTTTTCCATCCAAGAGAGCAGCAATTGTTGCTGTTCGTCCGACTGTCCTTTCATCGAAACATTGCTCATCACACTGAGTTGATGACTCTGCAAGAACTCACTGAATTTTTCCATCTCTTCGCTCTTGTCACTCTTCCGCTCAGACAAATTCTCGTCCAGCTGCATACGGCCAGCTTCCCCCTTTCCCTTGTGTTGTACGAAGTGCGGGCCGGCCCAAGGGAACCTCGGAAGATGCATATACGGTGCTTGTGGCTGTCCCATTCCGTTGCTGTCTCTGTAGTATGGTAGCTCTGTACCGGGCATGGGCGGTGGTGGCCCCACTTCGTGCGACGGCCACGGCGGAGGTGGTGGCATTGATGGTGGTGCAAACTGATGCAGCTGCCTCCCATCGTAATACGAACTGTCCACACAACCTGTGGGCGCCACTGTATGTGGTGGCGGTGGCGGTGGCGGTAGGAGTGCTGAGGGTGGTGGTGGTGGTGGTGGTTGTGGAGCCCCCCCCATGCCGCAAAGAGGATCGTACGCTCTTTCATCATTCAACCCACTTGCGCTGGGAACCGACTCTTCGTACGGAGGCGGTGGAACAGCGGACTGCAGAAATTGATGACTTGAGGAGCCACGGATCCCACCTCCAGGCATCACCATTGGAGCACCACCGTTGTACATACAATCGGAGTGGAAGCTGCCCTCACACAAGGGGCCATCCCTGAGGCCCTCCTGGTATGCGGGTGGTAACGGAACTGTCGCCAAGGGCCGAGACGCCTGCTTCATCGGTATATTCTGTCGTGAGGAATGGTGCGAGGATGACGTGGACCTGCTGTTGTCATCGCTTTGCGGCAAGCGCACCGGGGCGCCAAGTGAGGAGGGGCCTGCAACACCCCCTGCTGCAGCATCACTAGCCGCTTTCTCAGCTCCCCTCTTGAAGGTCGCAGAAGCTGCTCGTCCCGCCGCCTCCGCCGGAAGTGGTTTGTTCTTTGGATACATTCGCTATAATCAGTGCTCTACGCGACAGCCGTTAAAATCTCCTTTGTTATAGTTATAGGCACAGTTGGGTTGTATGCGTGATTCTTTTTTTTTTTTTTCGTTCTTTACACTTTCTTTTTTTTTCCTTTTATTGTTTGTGTAACGGAGTGTTTGGTTGCTCTCCAATTTTAGACGTGCCGGCAAAGTGTATATATGTGTTGCTTGTGATGGTACACCGAACGTCTACGGCTCCACAAAACTTATTAAGCAGCACAGAACTTCAGCTCTTCAAGTAGATACGCAAAACAATAAAAGAGACAAGAGACGAAGTCGTAATGTATTTAGAAGGGGGGGGGGACGTTAAATAGATGAAATGTCTTCTGTCAAAACAAACAGTAGACACGCGCAACAGATGGACATCTGGGTTGGCTAACACCTA